GCCACACTGGTGATGGGACCCAGAGCCAGAACCAAGCAAGTTCTCCACCATGGAAAAGATACAGGATCTATATCCAGATAGTCCAAATACTTGAAAGATCAATCATTAAGATTTCTGTCACATGGGATTTAAAGAGACAGCTCAGTGGTTAAGAGAGCGTACTGTTCTTACAAAGGACCTGAGTTCAGTTCTCAGCACTCATGTCAGGCAGCTCAAAACCATCTGTAACTCCAGCAACAGAGGGTCCCAAGCCTCTGGCTTCCTCAGCCATCTGCACTCACCTGAACTTATCCAATGCACACATACACACAATCACATATTCACATAAATAAAAACTAAATAAATAAACATAAATAAATAAACAGCAAGCATCATACTTATTCTGGTTTTTATATAATATATAAACATCATACTGTCATCAGGCCCATTCCCACTAATGACAATGAAAAACATCAGAAAGTCTAGCTCCATATTATAACACAAAAGGGGCAACATCAACAGAAGCTTTTGACAGGATTGCCAGTCTAAACTACCTGAATATAATAGTCAAACGGCCTGGGATACAGTTTACAGAGTTATTTCAACCAGGAAAATAGGAGTAATTTTCAAAGGAAAAGAACAGATAGCAAACCCATGCTAACTCAGGTCTTGGAATTATCAAAGACATCAGCTCCTAGAACATGAATCGAAAGTAAGCAGTCTTGAAGAAGTCATTCAAAAGTGGGGGCGAGAGACAGTAGAGGAGCTGGAGAGATGGCTCAGTGGGTAGGAGCACTGGCTGCTCTTCCAAGAGAACCAGAGTTTAGATCTCAGCACCCATGCTGGGCTGCACATAAATGCCTTGGAGACCAGCTCCAAACAATCCAATGTCCTCTTCTGGCCTCCACCAGCAACTACTTACTGGTTAACACACACACACAATTTAGATGTTTGTCTTCAGAGCCAATCTACAGGACGGAGGCAGAGGAGTGCGCGTAGCTTACCGTGTGATCAACCATCAGCCTGAGTGGTGACAGAAGCTTCTAAAGAGCTGGGTCAGTGGCTCAGCGATATCTACCTAGCATAGCGAGGCCCAGGTCTGATCCCCGGTACCATCACACACCAGAAAACCAAACAGACATCTCACAGAGCAGCTTTTGGAAGCTATCAACACTAGCACTGGTCCTAAGACGTGGAAAGGTTTCCTCCTCTAACCTGTGTTTTCAGCTTTGTAAACTAAGCTCACACATCAAAGGCCAAGAAAAGTTATTGGTGGGCACCTGATGTGCAGATAGACTACCTCAAGCCACTTCTACCTCAAGTAAACACAAATGTCAGCTGACTTTGTTGATCAACCTTATAAAAAAATATTTTCATTCTTTTTTTTTTTTTTGCCTGCCTTCTCTCTCCCTCACTGTACTCCCCAACCACCAACAATACTGGGGATTAAAACCCCTTCATACCTGCCAGGCAAACACTAGCACTGAACTACTCTCCCAACCCAATACTTTAATTCTGAACCCTACCTTTTGTTGTTGTTTTCTTTTTTGTTTTTCAAGACAGGGTTTCTCTTTGTAGCCTTGGACTTGATTTGTAGACCAGGCTAGCCTCGAACTCATAGTGATCTGCCTGCCTCTGCCAGTGCCCTGAGTGCTGGAATTACAGGCATATGCTACCTTCCCGGTCTGAACACTACTTTTAATCTGGTTTGGCTGTAATGACAGGTGGCAAAGAGCTTAGTGATCTGGGACTAAGAAAAGACAGATAAGCATGCCATGGCTGTACAAGGCCATGTGTCTACTTCTCAGCTGTCTTTTCCGCAATACCATGATCCTACCTTAAACCATAAGTGTGCAACTATGAGCTCCAAGTGTGACTGCATGCAGATGTGGCTGTCACAGACAGCTGTTCTTAACGCGTTCTGTGTTACCTGTTACCAACGGAGGATGACTTACTTACTTGGTCAGCTTGTGGCTTTTCATTGCTGTGAGAAATTCTCGGACAATCTCAGGACTCTGGTTCCGGCATGGTGTTTTTGATATGTATTTTAATGTCTAAAAGTAAATAAACAAGAGAAAGACAAACATATGATATAGAAAATCTGAGGTTTTAAAAAAGATTTATTTTTATTTTTAATTATGTGAGTCTATGCAGCTATATGCACTTGAATACACATACTCACAGAGGCAAGAGGCTTCAGAACCTCCTGAAGCCAGAGTTCCAAGAAGCTAAGTCACCCAATATCAGTACTGGGAATCAAACTGAGGTCCTCTGCACAAGCAATACATGTTTTTAGCAACTAAGCCATTTGAAGCGCCAGGAACAATGGCTCAGTGGATAAGAGCCCATACTGCTCTTGCACAGGACCCAGGTTCAATTCCCAGCACCCTCACTGTGGCTCACAATCATCTGTAACTCCAGTTCTAGAGAACTGATGCTCTCTTTGACCTCCACAGGTAAACAGGCATGTGCGTGGTACAGACATACATGCAAGCAAAACACTCATACATAAAATCTTGAAAAAATAAATTTTAATAAAAAAAGGAAAGCAGTGCTAAAATAGTCTAAAATGTTCAAAATCCCGAGTTATTTTTTTTATTTTTAAAGTATATATATATATGTGTGTCTGCATGTGAACATGTGTGTAAGAGTGCAGGTGCCTGCTGAGATAAGAAACACTGGATCCCCTCACACCGGAGTTAGTTACAGGTGGTGGTGAGCTGCCCTGTGCAGGTGTAGAAACAAACTCACATGCCCTGCAGGAGCAATAACCACTTTTGATTGCTGAGCCATCGCCCCAGCCCCAAGACAGTCAAGTGCTCTAGCACGGAGCTATACCTCTAGTCCAACATTTACGAAGTTTTGGTTTTGGTTTGCTGACTTGTCCTTAAGTTATAATGTCCCATTTTAGTTTATTTTTTAATGTAATGTATCTTTTTAATGTAATACTTTCCTGCTGTTTCCTTTCAATTCCCAAACAAGTTGTAAATTAGTTTTGCTTTCTTCCTTTTTTTCTTTATGCTTTTCGATTTTCCAAGTTTTTATCAAACAAAGCATTGTTTTTTATGTAGTAAAGAATCTGGCCAGACAGGTGGTGATACATGCCTTTAAAGTCAGAAATAAAGAGGCAGAAGCAGAGAGATCTCTGAGTTCCAAACCAGCCTGGTATGAGAGTTCCAGGCTAGCCAAAGCTACACAGTGAGACGCTGTCTCAAAAAACTGAAAGAAAAAAAAAGAAGAAGAAGAAGAAAAGAATTTGGCTTTGCATAAAAAGCAGTTTGATCTTTTTCCTAGACTTGTAGGTGGTGATCTCAAGGTGCCTGGAATGTTACACCTGGGCCCCTGGGTCATACTGAATATGCTTATCAACATAACTTAGTGGCTGGCCCCACCTGTATAGTTTTAGAGCAAGGGTTAGCTAGCAGTAAGAACAGTGTTCATCAAGACCTAGTGTGGCCTCCCAGCTGGCAACAGTCCATGCCTATGGCCACATACTATCTTTAGGAAAGTAATATAACCTGTGTCTATGTATGAGGACAGTGGAAATTATGACTTGGGTATTCCCCTATTTTTTTTATTCTCTTGGCCAATTTTAATCTGAATTCTTTCCTTATACCAAACTGTCACTGTGAATGTAATAGCTTCAGTCCTGAGACAGATGGGAGAGAACCCACCTCTCTCTGGGCACTGGACAGATATCAAGCATTGCTAGAACACTGGTAAAATTAGTATCAGTGCTATTTCTGTTCTCATTATAAGTACTAGTTCTGATGTCCATTTTCCCATACATAAGCAAAAATCAGGTGGGATAAGACAGTTTCACCCCCTCCCTGGTAGCTGGTGGGCTTATCGCTCTGGCCTCCCTGAGTTAAAGGACTATCAATCAGTCAAATAGTCAGTGGGCTGGCTACCATGCCAGCACAGCCATTTTGATACTGCTGTGGCTCCTGTTCAAAACATGCAGGACTGTTGTCAATCTATACTGGAGTTTTTGTTACCATGAGCCACAATGAACTCTAGACGATACTGCAAACCCTTCCACCCAAGCCACGGGAAGAGCATCTCCGATGGCACTGCAGAGGGTCTGCTGTGATTTGTGAGAAAGAAAGAAGCAAACATCAACCTTCATCTGCAGGTGAGGCCACTATCAACATTCCTTATTATGGCTGGTCTTAATGTCAACTTGCCACAAATTAGGATCACCTGAGCAGAAAGCCTCACCTAAGCAGGTATCCAGATTGCCTTAATGATGTGGGGAGTCCCACCCATATGGTGGGTGGCACCTTCTGCTAGTAATCCGGATAAAAAAGGGCATGGCAGAAGGAGAACCAGCTCACCTTCTGTTCTCCTGGCCTCCCTCTACTTCTGAGTTATTTCGCCCTGCAGCTACTGCTGAATCCTAAGCTGATATCAGAAACAGTGTTTCCAAGCTTTCTTCATGGACTAGGGACCAGCAGCTCTCCAGGAAACTTCCGAGCTTCCAGCGTAAAACAGGGACTGCTTAGGCACCCAGCCTTGTGGACTGAACAACTACCAGTTGCTGCCACCCAAATGAGAGACCCCCATTGTAGAACTACTCTACCTGCTGAGGGACTGAGTCTCAAGAATCAAGTAAGTACTGGGTTCCCAGCTCCCTGCCACTGTGACTCTATCCGCTGTTACTATTCTAAGGCTGCTGTGCACGGTGGTATGTGTATGTGTGTGTGATATGTATTTTTTCATCCCATTAATTCCATTCCTCTAGAGAACCCTGACTAATTCAGCACTTCTCTGACTATCTAAGTAGGCTGTTCAGCTCATTGGTGAGATGACTGAGAGATGCCTCACTCCGGTGCTGCCTGCTTTCCCTGATGTTGCAACTGGTCCAATAAACTGTTTCTCTCGGGTGGTTTTTTTGTTTGTTTATGTCATTTTTTCCTTTCCCCATTTATAGTTCATGAAGAAGCAACAGAGACTGAGGTGTAGCAACAGACAGTGGCAGTGGAGCAGCAGAGGGGCTAACTGCAGGGCCGCTGGCAGCCCAAGCTGCAGAAGTGGCAGGGGCAGCTGGCTATGCAGCAGCTGGAGGGGCAAAGCTGAATTGCTGGCCAGCCAGGCTGCAAAGGTGACATGGGCAGGCCACCATAACTGCAGATGACACAGAGCTCTAGGGCTGGCAACAATAGCAACAAAAGAGCGATGGCAGCTGCCTCCAAAGCAGCCAGAGCAGTAAGAGAGCAGCCCAAGAAACAAGATGGCAAGCATACAGGGTAAAGGCCGAGACCAAAGGGCACAGGGCTGTAAAGACCAGAGAAGTACCCAGAGATGTGGTGGCACATGCCTGTAAGTCCCTGCAGCTGGGAAACAGAAGCAGGGGGATCAGGAGTTCAAAACCCTCCTGGACTACGTAAGATCCAGAGAGCCATCAAGCGTTTAGGGCCAAAGGTATCAGGCACCCCAGGCCTGCACAGTGTTATACTGGGACCATCAAGGGCTGGAGTCCCAATACCTAGTCCTGCTGGGAAGGTACGATGTCAGCTGTTGCCAAGAGCTGCAGAATCCTGACTTTCCTAGGCCTACCCAACAACAGGAACACTTGTAGAGCTCAAAGTCCTAGTAAAAGCCTGCTTGAGATTCTAACACTAGAGGGCGCCGTCCGCTGCGGCTCCCACCTGCCCCAGCAGACCTAGCACTAGCACTTAGCACTAACACACTAGCTCACTGTGAGAGTCCCAGGACTCTCATCCACAGAGAGCAAAAGGATCCCAGACGGCTAACTGGGAGCACCTAGCGGTGGTGCAGGGGACCCACAAACATGTACTACAGGTGAGGACAATTTTATCCCATCTTACTAACCGGCAGGTGGCCACACTCCTATTTCCCTGACAGCAGGGCTCACCTCGTAGGTGATGGCGTTCAAGTTCTGCTGCCCGGCACTGTGTTTGTTCTTCCCACTCTCCTTCCGCTGCTCTTTGAGATCCATCAGTAACTGGTACACCTAGGAAGGGGCACAGAAGCTATTTGTCAGTAGGGCCAAGAGATGGGTCTCTTCCAAGGTTTTAAGACAGTCAGGTAAGGCCACTTTCTTTCCACAAACATGCTTCTCAGCAGCTGGTCTAGAGCAAGTATTACATCCTAGAACCATGCAAAGGCTTTTAGATGCTCTCTTAGCTAAGTCAGTTCAAATCATCCATTTATTTAAAATAGAGAGATGGCTCAGTAGCTAAGAGCACTTGCTACTCTTATAGAGGACCCTCACATTGGCCAGCTCACAACCACCTGTAACTCCAGCTCCAGAGCTCCAATGACCTAGTCTGGCCTCCCAGACTACATTTATAGGCACATACCCACACGCAGACACACATATTAAAAATTAAAAATGAGGGGCTGGAGAGATGGCTCAGAGTTTAAGAGTACTGCTTGCTCTTCCAGAGGTCTCGAGTTCAAATCTCAGCAACCACATGGCGGCTTACAACCATCTATAATGAAATCTGGTACTTCTTGTGGCATTCAGGTGTACATGCAGACAGAACATTGTATACGTAATATAAATAAATAAAAATTAAAAAATTAAAAATGAGAGAGAGTGGGATGTTGGTCTTCTGGTCCTAAATTTGTGGTGATGACCAGACAGGAGCAAATTAAAAAATGGGTGATATTGAGAAAAGCAAGAAGATTTTTGTTCAGAAGTGTGCCCAGTGCCACACGGTGGGAAAGAAAGGCAAGCATAAGACTAGACCAAATCTCCATGGTCTTCAGGGGCAAAAGACAAGTCAGGCAGCTGGATTCTCCTACACAGATGCCAACAAGAAAAAGGTATCACCTGGAGAGAGGATACCTGATAGAGTATTTGGAGAATACCAAAAAGTACATCCTTGAACAAGAATGATCTTGGCTGGAATTAAGAAGGGAGAAGGGGCAGACCTACTAGCTTATCTTCAAAAGGCTACTAATGACTAATTCCACTGCCTTACTTGTTATAAAACAAATGTCTCGTGGCTTTTAGTGTGTACCATAATTTACTTCATACACCAAAATTCAGCTCATGAATGGCTAACAATGTTTTACTGGACAGTCCCAATTTAAGTAAAACTGACTTGTAAAGTAGATATGATCTTTTTTAAAATAACAACCAGCATACATACTATCACTGCTCTCATTTTTCAAGATAAGATTGGACTTACGTAGTAATGTTCTACTTTCCACAAAGATGGGGGTGTCACCTCAAACCTATTAAATGGTTTTTTACCTAGATTTATATAACTGGGTATATGAATATGTTTAAACACTCTATCAAAGTCTCAGAAACAAGAAGGCTCACCTGTGTTTCAATTTGTGTTCACTGCCTGTTATAGGCAGTGGCTAAACATCAGGAGGCAACTGTCTGTTCTTAATGATGCTGTTTCAATTAGAATTCCCTATGTCAAGGACGCTGCCTTTTACCACTGAACAGCACTGACTGTGGTTTATGTATGATATCAAACAAAGAGTATTTAATACTTCAGAAATTTAAAATGAGACCCTTAAATAACTGTGAACACTGCATCACAGGCTCAGCCGGTAAAGGCACTTGCTACCAAACACGGAAACCTGAGTCCGATCCTGGACCAACATGGTAGCTGAAGAGAACCAACTCCCACAAGTCCTCTGCCCTCTGTGTGCATGCGGATACATATCACACAAAGTAAACAAAATAAATTTTAAAAATTTAAAAACGGGGCTGGAGAGATGGCTCAGATGTTAAGAGCACTGGCTGCTCTTCCAAAACTTCTGAGTTTAACTCCCAGCAACCACATGGTAGCTCATGACCATCTATAAGATCTGACGCCCTCTTCTGGCATGCAGGTGTACATGCAGGAAAAACACTGTTTATATAAATAAATAAATCTTAACAAAATTTTTTTAAACCATTCATCACTAATCCTTCTCAAAGCCATTATGAATCTCTGAAAGCAAATCTCCCTAAACTAAATAATTTAAAGGGGCTCTGCTTAATATATAAGCCTAGTGTAACGATTTCTTTCTATAAACAAAAGAACACGAGACAAAAGATAACACACAGCATTTAAAAAAAAAAAAAGAGCCAAGGGAATAGCTCAGTAGCAAACCATTTGCCTAATATGACAAATCCCTGGGTCCCCAGCATAACAAGAAAAACAAAAGATTTTGGATTTTTAGATTCTTAGAAGTAAACTTTCCCACAGAGGAAAAACTCACACACCTTAGTGCAGGGTTAGAGGTGAATGGAACTTCACTCCTGCTTCTGAGATTTTATAAGAGCTCTCATATATAAACTACAAGCTTACTAATCATCCATAGACGTGTGTGCAATACCTCCACAAGAGCTCCCTACCTCTCCACCTCTGAAAAACAGTATTATGAGACCCAGTGAACATGTTTCTCCAGTGAATGAAACTAACACCCAAATACTGAACAAAGGCCAAGCAGGACAAAGAAGTTCCTCAAAGCCAATGTTTGGAATGTTTGGACCAATGATCATTTCCTTCCTGTGGCTGGCCCACAAGCACTCAGACTGACTCTTTAGTAAGCAATATGCAGACTGAGTTAATTCTGCACATACACACATACACACACACACACGGGCACACAGTATACACAGCACAGAATGGAGACCAAGAGTTCCTCCAAAACTGAGTTTTCACCTGACATGGAAACTGCTGGTGAATTTTACAAGCAGGTCCTTCTGCACCTGGAGCTGTCCTATCAGACTGCTTTGCTAGCAGCAAACTAGACCCTGGCAAAGCAGAAGGCATGTACAAATTCTAATAGCTCTCCTCTTGCTAACCTTCTTCTTCTCTTTCTCCATCAGTCCCCAAATTATAAACCTGCTCGTTCTTACTGAATTATTCAAAATGGTTCATCAAGTCAACAACTCTTATTCTCAAAGTAAAGAAACCAGCATCTTTGAGGCCATCTGAGGATGAAAATGAAGTAAAGGATGGTAATTAGGAAGAGGCTAAGCATTTTCATAAGACATTTTTACAAAGAGAAGTGGCTCTAAAGCAGCAGCTCTTCTTCAAGGACACCTATATGGCTCTAGAGGCTCCAGGACTCGTGGAAGGGTACCTATTATGAACCAGAGCCTCCCCACTTCCCTGAAGAACTATGTGTAGTTTACCAAACACACACCATTCCAAGATTCACCCGGGTTCACCTGCCCTGTGTTAAAGTGGAAACTTCAAATGGCTTGTAGAAAACTAATCCAATAGTCTCACAAGCAAAGACGAAACCAAAAGAGAAAAACACAACAGCTCCTGTGGGAGTCCTTACCTCATAGTTACTGAGCAGCGCCGCATTCGCATCTTTCCTGCAAAAGAACAGTGAGCCATCATCAGTTCACATTCATTCCAAGGTTTCAAGTGTCTACAAAATAATCCCTATAGCCAAGATCCAGATGTCTAATTCAGGTAATTCAGGAGCAACCTAAAACCAGAAATGCCTTAAGTCCTGCCTACATTAGCTGGCCTGGCCACAGCAATTTCAGATAAAGACAACTTTCCTTTTCCTTTTTTCTTTTAATATCATTTGCTTGTGTGTGTGCATGAGCCTATGAGAGTGTATGTATGTACTACATGGGTGTGCAGATGTGCATGCCTGTGTGTGTACAGAAGCCAGAAGTCACTGAACCCCTCAAAGCTGGAGTGACAGGTATTTACAGAATGCTTAGACTTGTCTCCTGGGTGCTGAGGTCTTACCTCTGGTTCTCATATGTAGCCAGCATTATTAACCCCTGAGCTACCTCTCCAGCCCCTGGACTTCCATTTTTATAGACATAGCCTATCACAAACCCATTTCCCTGTGGATGACTAAGATACCATGTTATCACAAATGTATGTAGACAGAAGTTGAGGAGTCAGATATCTGGCACAAGCTAGCTACAAGAACATGGAAGCAAACCCTTGAAGGAACCCCATTACAGAAGGGTCCGTAGGCAGCAACAGCATTAGAAATCCCTGAAGAACCAAAATGCTGATTCATCCTGAATCAACATCCTTGTCTCTTTATCACCACCAGTTACTGGCATCTTGGACAACCTGACTCCTGCCATTTTGACAGATTATACGTACTTTAACACTGACAATGTCACTAGGAATTCCAGCAAGGGTTAGAGATTCTGTGAAAGAGTCACAGAGATGACATCTATCTAGTTGCTAAAGCCTGGTTTCCCCCTGTGTACTGTTACGGTTCCTGTGTGAGCAAAGCTGTGGCACAAACGACAACTGATCCACTCCACACTATCACAGCAGAGATCTCACTTGAATGGCACAGACCACAACTGGTCCATTCCACACCATCACAGCAGAAAATGGATTGTTTTAAGCAGCCCGGGGCCAGTATACTATGACAATTAAGGACAAAGTCCTTAAGGACATATTTAGGTTCAGATTCCCTCTCTGCCAAGTGAAAGATGTAGATTTATTGGGCCAATTTTTCCCCAAGCTTACCCCAGCTAAAACAAAATATGGGAATAACGTAGTCAAGCACGGGGGCTCTGAGATGGCTCAGTGGTACCAGCTCTTGCTGCCCTTGTAAGAGGACTGGAGTTCAGTTTCCAGCACCTCCGTCAGACAGCTCACGATGCCTGTGACTTGTTCCAATGCCTCTTCCAGCTTCCGAGTGAACATGCACTCATGGTGAACAGGCAAGCACACACACACATAAATATTTTAATACTTCTTTAATAACTTATTTTTATTTTATATACATTGGTATTTTGCCTATATGTATGTCTGTGTGAAGGTGTTGGGTCCCCTGGAGCTATAGATAGTTGTGAGAGCCATGTAGCTGCTAGGAATGGAAACCAGGTCCTCTGAAAGAGCAGTCAGTGCTCTCAACCACTGAGCCATTTCTCCAGCCTCATAAATATTTTTTAAATAAACTGCAGTATAACCTTTTACTATTGTTGGCTATGTGAATTTTCTAAAGTGATTTCATCTCTATAATCTTCTCATCTACAACATGGAAATTATATACCTTTGTAAGATTACATACAGGATTAAGCACAAACATGTAATTAAACAGAATACTGCAAGTGCTTAAAAACTGTCATAATTATTACTTTTACCCGAGCTACTAAACTTTTTACTTCATAAAGATAATAAGGTGAAATGAAATGTCAGACCTTAAGATTAAGACCTCCATGAATGAAGGCCATTATTTAAAAACAAAAACAAAACAAAGCAAAACAAAAACCATTATTTCTGGCTGGAGAGATGGCTTAGTGGTTATGAGTACTAGATGCTCTTCCAAAGGACCTAGATTTGATTCCCAGTACCCACACAGCGCCTCTGAACTATTTGTAATTCTAATCCTGGGGGAATCCTATACCCTCTTTTGACCTCCAAGGGCACCAGGCATGAATGTGGTATACAAACATACATGTAGACAAAACACCTATATGCATAAAATAAATTTTAAGAAAGTTTTAAATTATGTCAACTCTTGGTACAACCTCTCCGATGCAGGGCCTATTGATATAATTTTACCTTTACAGATGAGAAAGCTAAGTCTCCAGGATTAAAGTAACTTGTTTACACAGTAAGAAGTCCCAGTGAAATGAAAGACAATTATGACTGAAAAATGAGACTAGACTAGGCAAAAGGTAACAGAATCCTAAAAATGCAGGTAGAGCAATGTAGAGCTCATACAAGTTGCAACAAAAAACACCGTGTGTTCTATCACCAGAAGTGCACCTAGATGGTAAAAATCACAGCACAGAATTTTAAAAACATGGGTGTGAGAGTTGTCTGCTTTCTCCAGTCAACAACTGCAGCAGAACTCTCCCACAGCTAACACAGAGGTCAACCTAGCCATCCAACAGGACAGTGGCGTCAGCACAGATTTCAAATCAATGAGCACAGCTTCGCCAAATGCTACTGGTGATTCAACAAACAGCTGTGATTTCACAAATCTCCTGCTTCACCCCAAAGACACTGCACCCAAGTCACAGATATTATATTTAGAAAAAATCTAACAGTAGAAAAATGGTGCAGGGCTCAGCTGGCAGAATGCTTGCCTAGCATGCAAAAGGGTCTTGGTTCCAAATATACTAGGCATGGCAGCCTGTACAGATGGAGGCAAAAGTGTCAGAAGGTCAATGTCACCCTCAGCTACATGGAGGCTGAGGCAATCTGAGCTAAATGAAAGCCAGTCTAAAAAAAACAACAAAGACAAATTAAATCATGCCCACTTAGTCAGGAAATCAGTCCACAAGGCTTCCTACTTCTGCTGGAAATTGAGTTACACCCCCATGCTCTCAGAGAACACTGCTCCCTCGAGACCTTCTCAGGGCCAATGTACCCATCCCTGGCATCACTGGTGTATGTCATTTCCAAATCATACACCACTCTGCTGTCATGACCGAGAAAATTGACCTTGGCCATTCCAGGTCACTGCCCAACTACTCAAGTCAATATTGTTAACACAAAAACGGGCAAGGCCTCTAATCATAGCTCGCTGATGGCTAGGGAAAGAGGACCACATTAGCTACATATGTTCTCTCTCTCTCTCTCTGTGTTTCTCTCTCTCACACACATATACATACACAAACACAGGTGTAAGAATCCAACAAATATCATCTGCCTTTTCTAGCAGAGAGACAGACAAACAGATTGGGAATTCTTTCACATACAGTTTGAAAAGAATGAAAACAGGGTACCGGGGATTAAGCCCAGGGCCTGCGACCCGTTAAGCAAGCCCTCTCCCACCGACCTACACAGCCCCTCATGTACACTGGCTAGTCTGTTTGAGGACTAAGAGAACAATGTAGATATTGCACCGTGTAGACAGACTCTGGCTGGTATAAACCAGTTAATTCATTGATTTCCAACTCCTTCCCCACCTGTCTTTCTTTAGCTTCCATTTCTATGTAGCCCAGCCAGACCCTTGTACTCACGATTTCCCTGCCTCAGGCATGAATGCTAGGAATGTGGTTGTGTACCACCATGCCTGGCTGATTTTAACACCTAGCCACTCAGCTAAATATTCAGATTAAATACCAATACATTCTAGACATAATTATATTCAATAAAAGCTGAATGAGCAACTGGGATATAGTTTAATGATAGCAAATGTGCTTAGCATGCAAGCTCTAGAACCAATTCACTTGTCAATAAGTATACTATTTATTTGTGTGTGTGTGTGTGTGTTCATAAGCATGTGTTCAGGAGTCTACAAAGGCCAGAAAAGGGCATCAGATCCCTGAAGCTGAAGTTACAGGCAGTTGTAATTCACCTCATGTGGGTGCTAGGAACAGAACTCAGGTCTTCTCCAAGGGAAGCAAATCCTCTTACCTACCCGCCATCTCTCCAGCCCCAAGGGAAATTCTTTCAAAGGTAATTTTTATCCTCAATAAATTCCTACAGTGGCCACCAGATTGTTGGGGAAAAAAATTATCTCACTCTCCCACAAAGAAAAATCCACACAAAGCACAAATAATTCAGGAAGGCACTCAGAATCCAAACCAGGCATAGGTGGTGACTGCATTCCATCCCACTGGCGGGAGCTCAACTCATAAACTGACTAAGCTAAAAACAAACAAATAAACAAACCCATAAGGCCAATGTCACAGAAAAGTCAAAGGACCTGTTCTAGATTAAAGAAAAAAGGAAGAGCACACTTCAGTGCAATTCTTCAGTGGTCTAGGGAAAAACCTACGGCTAAAAGACAGTACTGAGGCTGGAGAGATGGCTCAGTGAAGAGAAGTCCTTGCTGCTTTTTCGGGGAATCCAAGTTTGGTTTCCAGCACCCACACTGGGCATCTCACAAATACCTACAACTTCATCTCCAAGGGATCCAGTGTCCTTTCTAGCCTACACAGACAAGTACACACACACACACACACGTGCACTAACAGTCACAGACATGTATGCATAAAAATAAAGTTTTTTGTTTTTGTTTTTGTTTTTTTCTTTCTTTCTTTGTTTTGAGACAGGGTGTCTCTGTGTAGCCCTGACTGTCCTGGAACTCACTCTGTAGACCAGGCTGGCCTTAAATTCAAATATCCGCCTGCCTCTGCCTCCTAAATGTGCACTACCACCACCTAGCCTAAAATTAAAATTTATTAAAAAAGTTCCTTAAATGGCATTATTGAGACAACTGGAAAAATGTGGACATGCAGTGGATTGACATCAGTGTTAAGTTTCTTACGTATAATTGTATCGTGGTTAGTCACTTTTTGAGAAAGGGTGAAGAAACTGGAGATACGGGTTAGTGGCTCCGGGCACTTGCTGCTCCTCCAGAGAAACCACTCAGTACCTAGCACCCATATGGTGGCTTACAACTACCTGTAACTCCAGTTCCAAAGGATCCAATGCCCTCTTCTGACCTTGTAGACACCAGGCACAAATGTTGTATACATTCAAGCAGGCAAAACACTCATTCACATGAAAAAAAAAGATCTAAAAAGATGTTGGGTTTTGTTGTTGTTCTTTGTTTTGGGACAGGGTTCCTCTGTTGTAGTCCTGGTTGTCTTGGAACTCATTCTGTAGACCAGGATGGCCTTAAACTCAGAAATTTGCCTACCTCTGCCTCCCGAGTGCTGGAAAAAATAATTAATTAATGAAGGTGGGTGGCACCAGCACCTACCTTAAAAAGTATTTATTAAAGAGTAAAATAACATGTCGTCTGCAACTCTCAAATGGTTCAGTGTAATGTGTATGGGTAAGTGTACAAAAGGAGAATGCTGTGCAAAACAATAAGGCAAATATCCATGCTGAAAGGCTAACAAACGGGCCATCAAGATGGCTCAGGGAGTAAAGGCACCTATCAGCAGGGCTAACAGCCTGAGTTTGATCCCATATGGTGAGAAGAGAGAACTAACTCCCACAAGTTGTCCTCTGACTTCCACATATGTGCTGTGGCCCATGTACCCCCAATAAATAAATAAATGTAATTGTTTTAAAGTTGTTAACAACTAAGGCCTCAATGAGATGGCTCAGCAGATAAAGGGACCTGACACCAAGCCTGATGACCTGAGTTCAATCCCAGGGACCAACACAGTGTTAGAAAAGAACTGATTTCCACAAATTGTCCTCCACATGTGCACCAAGACATACACACACTCACAAATAATTGAAATGTAATAAAAAATTGTAAAGATGTTAACAAACCTGCTAGGTGTGGTGGCAACCCACTGAGAATCTGTCCGAAGGGGTAGGAAGATCAGAAAGTCAAGGCCAGCCTAGGGGTGGGTAAGAAGCTTGTTTAAAAAAACAATAACAAAACTCTCCCCAGCTCAGGCTCTGTGTTCTTTCGATTCTGTTTTCTTTTCTTTTCCTTTCTTTTTTTAAGGTAGGCTCTCCCTGGGCAGGGTGACACATGCCTATAATCCTATCACTGGGAAGGTAGAGCCAGGCAGACCTCTGGGGGGGGGGGGGGGGCAGACTCTTGCCATTCTACACAGACAGGCCTGGAACTTGCTATGCAGCTGGGGCTGCCTGTACCCTTGCCCTTGCAATCCTCCTGAGTGCTAGGACTACAGGATGTATGCTCTGGGTAGGCAGTTACTTAGTGTCCTTAAGTAGTTCATTAGTGGACTAAAGCTGACTTACTATTTGAAATTTAACCTCTAGAGTTTGCTGAATGTGCTGAGTGTAAACAATCACTTTGGAAAACAGAATTCTGAATAAACAGAACAGAATGATCTATTGACAGACTTCCCTTAAAAGAACACAAAAACACCAGAGAAAAACAGAACAACAATATGAGCAGTGTCTATTAATTGCCACACACTTAACTTAGGAACATAATGACGAACAGAATTGCTACACTTTTCTAAGTTTAACTCATGTTCTGAAAAGCTAAAGTTTGACACAAGAAAACTGAAAACTTCAAAGTCAAGAACACTTTATAACCTGTAGCTCCCATTTCACAGCTAGCCAACAAGCACACTTTTTCTAAGCCTGCTGCTGGTTTGCAATATATCTTTTGCTTCTCTTTTCTAAATCTCCATATTGCTAGCTGTAAAGAAAAAAGCAATCCTCATGTAGTTGTGCATGCTCTCTCTTTCTCTCAAGCAGGCAAAACACTCATGCACATGAAAAAATAGATCTAAAAAGATGTTGGGTTTTGTTGTTGTTCTTTGTTTTGGAACAGGGTTCCTCTATGTAGTCCTGGTTGTCTTGGAACTCATTCTGTAGACCAGGATGGCCTTAAACTCAGAAATTTGCCTACACACACACACTACAGAAGACAATGCTCACTTTCCCAACTCTGTCTATATATTACATTTTAAAAGGTACAGGGGGCTGCAGAGATGGGTCAGCATTTTAGAGTTTAGATTGATTTGCAGAGGATCTAAGTTTGAGTCCCAGCACACACATCGGGGCCTGACAATCACCAGAAACTCTAGCTCTGGAGGATTTAATGACCTCTTCTGGCCTCCGCGGGCAATGCACTCACATGTATAAACCTATATAGACATATACACACATAATAAAAAATAATTTTTAACGCCTTAAAAGGGGAGAGCACAGGTGGTGGAAGCACACGCCTTTAATCCCAGTACTTGGAAGGGAGAGGCAGGCAGACCTCTGTGAGTCTGTGGCCAGCCTGGCCTACAGGGCGATTCCAGGACAGCTGAGGCTACACAGAGAAACCCTATCTTGAAAAATAAGGGGAGAGGGGTACCAAGAGTTTGGAATGCCGCTCAGTAGAGTGCTTCTGCTAACATGCACAAAGCCCTGAGCCCAACCCCAGCACTGCATAAAGGGCATGGTGTCATAACCAGTAAGCTCAGCAACCCTGAGGATCAAAAAAGCTCAAGGCCGTCATTCTTAAATACAGAATGAGTTCAAGGCTAACCTTGGATACCTGGGGGGGGGGGGGGGGGGGAGGAATACATAATATGTAAGTGATTAGTGACAGAGAATGTATCCAGAGAAAGCATCCCAATATGAAGCACTAAGATGCTCAACATTTAGACAGAAGCAGGGAAAAGGAGCAACAAAAGAATGCCAAGCAGTAGGATGTAGGAGGAAACTCAGAGGTGTGTCAGAGAGCTGACTTTCCAGGGTTTCTGAAGACAGAACCACAGAGCCAGGGCAATACAGTGAGAGACCTCCATCTCCAAGACAGAAGGACTAATCTGATGTGGCTTGAGAGGTGGAGACAGGACATCATAACGCCACCAACCTCCGCTAAATAGCAAGTTAAAAGCCAGCTACTGGCTTTGGACTACTTATGACTCCGTCTCAAGGAAGAAAGGCGGGGGCCCTGACCAACTGTAGTATATACTAACAACTGAGTAGAAACAACTTAGGTATGTCAACCTTTTAAAGTGTGTGTGTGGGGGGAAACGGTTAGGATGGCTTTGTTGTTGGTAGATAACTGCCTATCCTGTCCAGGACTTTTCCAGCCCAAACAAATATGATGGTAGGAGAGGGATGGCTTAGTGCTAAAGTACTTGCCTAGCATCCCTAGGTTCCATCCCTAGCACCACAAAATTATAACAGTAACAGTAACGTGCAAGACTCTGGGTACCATCCCCAACATCACAAAATGATGACCATAACGATGCTGATAACAGCTGGGGATGTAGCACAGACCTTTAATCCCAGGAGAGGCAGAGGTAGGCGGATCTCTAAGGGTTCCAGGACAGCCAGGGTTACACGGAGAAACCTATCTCTAAAAACCAAGTTTTTTAAAAGATGGAGAACTACAGCCCACTGTAGGTGCCACCATCTGTGGGTAAAGTGATTCTGGGCTAGAGAAGTTAAAGAAAATCAGACTGTAAACCAGAAAGCAGAGTTCTTGAACGGTTTCTTTCAGGTTTCTGCCTCGAGTTCCTGCCCTGACTTTCCTCAATGATGAACTGTGTCCCGGAAGTGTAAGATACAATAAACCCGTTCTACCTTTACTAGGCTGCTTCTAGTCATGGTGTTTGTCACAGCAACAGAAAGGAAACTAGCACACCAAGGATGTTCAAGACATAGGGTACCATCCGCAGTATCACAAAATAACGATGGTGATAATGGCTAGGGATGCAGCTAAGAAGAAGCGTATGCAAAGACCGCATCACAAGATGGTAATTATGACTGGGACGTATCTCATGGGTAACTACTTGCGGAGCACGTGCAAGCTCTTGGGTTGCACCCCCAAAACCAGAAAGAAAAGGGAGACAGAGAAGAAAGAGGGAGGGTTGAGAAGGGAAGGGGGCGGACAGGAGAGGAAAGGGAGAGAGAAACGGGGGAGAGAGGGAAAAGGAGAAGGAAGAGAGGGAAGAGGGAGAGAGAATTTCTTCTACCCTTTCCACTTTCGCCTCCCCCCAAAAATCGTGATGTTAGAAAAGAGCGGGTTCCTAGACCAACAGGGTCCCTCCCCTGCCATCCCACCCCCAAGCACTTCCGGCCTTTCCACTCCGCCCACCCGTCCGGCTCAAGAGTCCAGAGGTCTGGCCGCCGGCCGCCTCGCGGACCTCAGCTGAACCCGGTTTTTCCCGGACATGCCGCTTACACTTCCATGTTGCCTGTGCCTCGTCGTGTGCAGCGGCTGGAAGGGAAAGGCAGGCCTCACGCTGCACCACCGCCACACCGCTCACCGCGTCTGTGTGTGCCGCACGGCACTCTAGGACCGCCGTGGTGCATGCCGGGATCGCTGCAGGGACTTCCGGGATCCTCTTGAATCTAGGTGTTGGTACTCGGGTCTGATTGTTGTCTGTCAGGCGTTTGGAGACAGAATTTAAACGTTCTTACGGCCCAAGTTTTGTTAGAGTTTGCCTTGGCCGCGTTAAAATCACTAAACCAGGCATGTAATCCCAGCATTAGAGGGGCTGAGGCCGAATTGTCAACGAGTTTCTAGCCAGCCTGGGCTCCATGAGTTTCAAGCCATCGTGGCCTATTTGAGACCCTGTGTCAAAAAAAAATAAAAATAGATAAAAATAAAAAGCCAGGTACGGTGGAACACTCCTAATTCCAGCAAGAGAAAAAGAGGGAGTCATAGGCAAGCACATCTCTATGAGTTAGAGACTAGCCTGGTCTATATAGCTAGCTCCAGGACAGCCAGGACAACACAGAGAAACCCAGTCTCAAAAGGGAAACAGAGAGCTGGAGAGATGGTTTAACAGTTAAGAGTAGCTTGCAGTTCTTGAAGAGAATCAGGAGTTGGTTCCCAGCACCAACATTGTGTTTCATAACAACCTATAACTCCCATTCCAAGGGATCCAAGGCCCTCTTCTTGCCTCTTGATAGGCGCCGTGTTAAATATGCAGGCACATACACATAAATATTTATTTAAAAAATAAGAGAAAAGGCTGGACCTCCTGGCCCATATCTGCTATGCTCCCAGCCCTTGTGAGGTGGAGGCAGGAGGATTAGGTGTTCAGAATCATCCTCTATACAGTAAGTTCAAGGCCAGGCTGGGATACAGGAGATCTTGTCTCAAAAGGGGGGGGGGGGGTACGAGTCCAATAAGAAGCAACTCTATAAATATTAGTGGTTGTTTAAGGCTAAAAGAGAAGTCGGACAAAAACAGGGAGTGCCTTAAGAGATACTTTCTTTTGGAGAGAAGAAAAATGTTTTCAATCTATTGTAGGAAACTTAGCATGGTAAAGGCCAGGCTCAGTCAGGTGGAATGCCTTGAGTTTGAAGGCAGTGTGGGTGATCTGGTGAGTTCTAGGTCAATGTAGACTATGTAGGCATTTCCTCTCTCCCATAGAACAAGAGAAACTATGTAAAGATGATGGCATAACAATATGAATATACCGAACACATGGAATATCGGGTTTCAGCCGTTAAGAGGGATTGTTATTTGAGAAGAACACCCAAGTTCTAGTCCCAATACCCAATTGGGGCCCTGTACTGCATTGCCAGGGGCTCCAATGCCCTCTTCTGACCTCCTGCAGTGCCTGCATATCCATACATGGACACACACGCTTGAAAATAAACTTTTTAAAATATTGAATAAATTGGGAGGCAGAAGCAGGAGGATCTTTTTGACTTCAAGGTCAACCTGATCTACATAGTGAACTCCAAGACAGTCAAGATTACAAAGAGAGATCCTGCCTATAAGTAAATAAATAATATTAAATTGTATGGTTTAAAGGTGTAGATTGTGGAGGCTGGAGAGATGGCTCAGTGGGAGGACACAGGTTCAACTCCCTGCCCCACATGGAAGCTCATAGCTGTCTGTAACTCCAGTTCCAGGTGATCTGACACCCTCACACCAATGCATATAAAATTAAATATTTTTAAATGAGTGAATAGTGGGATATATAAATAATGTATCAAAAACCTAAGGCCGGGCAGTGGTGGCACACACCTTTAATCCCAGCACTCAGGAGGCTGAGGCAGGTAGATTTCTGAGTTCAAGGCCAGCCTGGTCTACAGAACAGGACAGCCAGGGCTACTCAGAGAAACCCTGTCTCAAACAAACTGTTAAAAGTTTTTAGGAGGGGCTGTCGAGATGGCTCAGTGGTTAAGAGCACTGTCTGCTCTTCCAAAGGAACTGGATTCAATTTTCAGCACCCACATGGCAGCTCACAGCTGTCAATAATGTAAATTCCATGGGATCTGACACCTTCACAGTAATGCATATAAAATGAAATAATAAAAAAAATTGGGGGAGGGACCAGTTTCTCACTATATAACCTTGAGTAGCCTGAAATTTTATGTAGACCAGGCTGGCCTCAAACTCAGAGATCCACCTCCTTCTGTCTCCCAAGGCTGAGATTAAAGGTGTGTGCCACCACTGCCCAGCCATGTTAAAATGGCTACAGGTTATTGTATGTGAGGAATTGATATAAGGTTGGGGGAGTCTGGTATGGTGGCACATGCCTGTAATCCCTCAACTTGGGAGAGGGAGACAAGAAAATCAGGTGTTTGGTTGGCTGGTTGGCTGGTTGGTTTTGTTTTAAGACAGGGTTTCTCTATGTAACCGCCCTGGCTATCCAGGAACCCACTTTGTAGATCAAACTAGCCTCAAACTCACAGAGATCCACCTGCCTCTGCCTCATCTTCAGCTACATAGGAAGTTTTAGGCCACCCTGGGAGAACCCTGACAGGGTACATGAGAACCTTGTCTCATAAAAACTAGCGTGTGTGCATGGCTGTTCATGTATGTTTGTGTGTGTGTGTGTGTGTGTGTGTGTGTGTGTGTGTGTGTGTATGTATATAACATGTCTATAAGCATAGTACAGGAAGCCAAGGCAGAAGAGTTCAAAGAGGCCGAACTGGACCCATATAGTAAAACCCTGTTTGAAAATAATAAAGATTAAACCAGGAGGTGACACACTGCCCAGAGGCAGGCAGGGCTCTGAGCTGGAGGCAGAGGAAGGCAGAGCTCTGTGAGTTCCAGGCCAGCCTGGTGTACAGAATTTCAGGACAGCAAGGGCTGTTACATTGAGAAACCCTGCTTGGAAAAAACTAAAAATAAACACTAAATTTAAAAAATGAAAAACCAGGCTGGAGAGATGGCTCAGGGGTTAAGAGCACTGTCTGCTCTTCCAAAGGACCGGGGTTCAATTCCTAGCACTCACATGGCAGCTTACAACTGTCTGTAACCCCATTTCCAAGGGATCTGACACCTTTACACTCGTGCACATAAAATAAAAATTAAATAAATTATTTTTTAAAAAATGAAAAACCAACAAGAAAATAAAATGCCATCCTAGTCCCAGCTGACATAATATTCATCAGAGAGTGCCTTGTATCTGTCTTGAGCAGAATGGGCCCCACGATGGTGTTCATTGTGTTTTTTACCCAACAGTCTTAAAGCAATTGCCCACTGACTGCTGGTGATTCAGATATGAATAATACACACTCTCCGTCCAAGCTAGCTGACAGCCTGGTTGAGGGACCAGTTCTGGGCATCAATAACTATGACACACTGTGTTTAGTCTTTGTAGCATAGAAGGGGAGTGACTAACAAGGGCAGAGAGGCGTCCTAAAGCCAGAAGTGTTTGAGGTGAGTGGAAGGAGGACCATTCAAAACTAAAACTTCAGAGATAGACTCTTAATGGAAGTCCAGCTAGAGCCTTTGAGAGCCGCGCCATAAAATGGCTCAGAGATGAATTAAAGTAGGGGAGTTGGGTTGCACCCATGTTCAAATGACATCCACCTAGGCACATGCTTGCTAACTTCAACCTTCTTGCTATATCAGGAAATGTCCTGAGCTAACTGGCTTTTCTTTGAGTTTGCTTTGGTTGATTGTTTTGTGTCAAGGTCTTAAGTCGGAACTGTGTAGCTAGGGATTACCTTGAACTCCCTAGCCCCCTATCTGCACCTCACAAGTTCGGGAATGACAAGCACGCACCACCACACCCAGCTTATCAGGTGCTGGGATGAACAGGGGGCTTTGTGCATGTGACAAGCGTTCTACCAACTGAGCTATATATACCCCAGCCACTGAGCTAATTATTAAATATCTTCACCATTGTCCTTGACTGTGATAGAGCTGTTGACATTGTGACATATGGGCTTTGGGAATCTCAAGGAAATGACCACATAATTCCAAAGTATTTGGGGACACAAAATGTGTTATTTCTGCAGAGGGGAACCTAGTGGTGCCGAATCAAGCAAGCAGGTACACCCAGCAGGAGTCCACACTGGGAGTTTATTCCTAATCTAGAGGGAATCTTGTCTCACTCTGAGTGGCCAGAGCTTAGCCTCAGGGATGGATGCAGCTGGTGGTCAGAATGCACTGTCTCTCAGAGAATATAACCTTAAGCCAATATTTTGATTTCAAGGAGAGTTAGCTGACACTGGAGGAATTTTAAAAAAAAAATTTTTTTTTTTTTGAGACAGGGCTTGTCTGTGTAGCCTTGGGTGTTCTCGACTCACTTTGTAGACCAGGCTTACCTGGAACTCACAGAGATCCACCTGCCTCTGTCTCCAGAGTGCTGGGATTACAGGCACGCACCACCACGCCTGGCTTGAAATTCTGATTTCTATCCTGCACGGTCTTTGCAATTTGTTAAAATGGAGTTTTGTCTTATTAACCCTTTGATAGAAAAGACGGTACATTTTGCTTACATTTCCCATACCATAATGAAGGAATTGATAAGCAGAAAATACCAATAACAACAATAATCTCCATTCATTATTGTCTTATAATCAAGTTTGGGGCAAGTGAGCTGGCTAGGAAGGTAAGTCAACAAAAACAATACTCTTGGGCTTGGAGAAATGACTCAGCAGTTAAGAGCACTGACTGCTCTTCCAGAGGATTCAGGTTCAGTTCCCAGCACCTACATGGCAGCTAACAATGGTCTGTAACTCTGGTTCCAGAGGATCTGACATCCTCACACAGGCATACTTCACACAGACATACATGCAGGCAAACACTAATGCTCACAAGATAAAAATAAATAAAGCATTTAAACGCATGCACAGACACACACACACACACACACACACACACCTGTCTTCCCAAAGGGGATAGGAAATAGTTTATTCTGAAGCCAAATACGAGTGACCATGGCCCATGAAAACAGACTCAGGCTACCCAAAATTCTATGTTCCAATACAGTTGTAGTTAGATGAGATTTTTATAGTAACAAAGAAAATCATAAATTTAACCATTTTTCAAATGCATTGGTGGGAATGTAAGATAAGTGGGCTACAGAAAGCCAGGAAAGAGTCTGCTCTAGACCTGAGAGTCTTCTGGTGACATTCTTAGCATTTTGTTTGATGGAAGCTGGAGATCTGCTCTGTTATCGCAAAGACATCAGGTCACATATAAGGTTACAATTAGGCTTTGGATCTGCAACATTCTAACCTCTCCAGAAACTCAGGTTCTAATCAGACTGTGGTCAGACAGGTATGGCTTCCTTCTAGTCTATTACTTTTGTCCACAGGTGGGTCCCAGAATTGAAACTCAAGTAGTCAGAACTGGCAGTTGGTAGCTTCCCTGGAAGAGCCATCTTGCCTGTTGTTGTTGTTATTATTTGGTGGGGGGGGGGGAGGAGTTTATTTTGGCTCATGGTTTTCCGAGGTTTACTTCCCTGAGAAGCTGCTTCCATTGCCGTGGGTCTAGGGCAAGGCCCAACATCATGGCCAACAGCATTTGGAGAAACAAAGCAAGCCCATCTCATGGCAGATGGGAAGTAAAGAGCTCTTTTTGTAGTATCTTAAATATGGAGGACATCATACATGAGCGTCATTCTTGTGCAGGGGCCATGCTAATTTACTTTGTATAATTCTCATTTTAGAATATGTTTTGCTGAAGTGAGCCGTACCATTGCTATTATATATTCATTTTGGTGTGTGTGTGTGTATGTGTGTATCCCAAAGCACTTGTGTGGACACCTTCCATGAGGCATTTCTCTCCTCTCACCCTGTAGATTCTGGAGACCCAGCTCTGTCATGAAGCTTGCCAGCACACGTCTTTCTAGCCTCTCTTTGTCAAACTGTTGTTTTCATTCCAAGGACTGGAAAGGCAGGTGACTGTCATGTGAGGTTCAGGGACAGTCCTGTTAGCCAGTTGTTCATTAATGTAATCCCTCAGGCATTAGTGGCTGACGGTTCAGCTCTTGCAGAGCTTCCCAGGCAGATGTTATGTTTCTCCTAGCCCTCCAACTTCCTGTCTCTGTGTCTTTAGGCAAATCACCCATTCTCCTCCAGACTCCCCTTTCCTCACCTGGAGAAGCCTGGTGATTATCAGGGTTGCCTTCTAGACGTGCTTGAGGGAATTTCAAAAGGTAATCCATAGGAAATATTTAACACTGTTAACTTCAAGATATTGCCAGGTGTGCTGGCACACATGTCACTCTAGCCCTTGGACAGCTGAGGGGGGACAATCAGTCAATACTGATAAAATGAAAACAAATTATTTTGCAAAAAACAATTTTTTTTTATTCTGTTTTTTGAGACAGGGTTTCCTCTGTGTAGCCTTGGCTGTCCTGGACTCTCTTTGTAGACCAGGCTGGCCTGGAACTCAGAGATTCACCTGCCTCTGCCTCCTGAGTGCTGGGATTAAAGGCAGGCACCACTACCACCACCTGCCTTAAAATTCTTAGCATTCCAACTGTATGGTGTGGTCCCTGAATGCTCCCAGGCCCATCTTGGCTAGCTCTATCTGGTCTCTTGGCGATTAAAAATATCTACAGTCCACAAGGGGCAGTGGGAATGGTTCAGTGCTTAAGAGGTCACATTGCCCTTGCAAAGGACCCAGCTTCAGTTCCCAGCACCCACATAGGGACTCACAACTCTAGGTGTACTTTTTAAGAACTTTTATTTACAGTTATTTTCTTCCCTACTCCACCCCAATCCCTTCCAACACCAGGTAGGAAAGAGAAAGGGCTAGTGGGAGAGGGGGCACAGTTCTCTCAGCTGCTTCCTGCTGGTCAGGGTCATCAGGTTCCTTGGAGCCAGTCCAGTCCTCTTTTCAGGAGATCTCCAACTTCTTGTCTCACAACAGCAACCAAGAGCCACGGGGGCGGGGGAGAGTAGCAGCAGCCTTGTTCTTTCTCAGAGTCTCCACACTCTCTGGGCTCTGGCATTTATTCTGTCTCCAGAGCCCTCAGATTTAAACTCCGCAGCTGGCAGCTGGCAAAGAGCTCTTCTCAGAGCCTGCACAAGACAAATAGTCTGCTGCCTTGGACTATTTGAGTCAGTCCCACATCAGTTCCAGGTGTGGACCTGGGATTAAAACAAAAACATGTTTATATCCACAACGCACAACCGTCCAGTTCCAGGGACACTGACATCCTCTTCTGATTTCCGTTAGCATCACGCACCTATGTAATGTACATAGCATCCATGCAGACAAAAACAAAAACCTCCTTGGCAGTGAGCCCCTCACAGCTGGTCTACACAGTGGCCCAGTGCCTGCTGATTCTCGGTAAGCATAGATCTCTTGCCTTGAGGATGAATTTGATATATGCACTGAGTACTCTCAAATGCCTGACATACTTTTAGGATCCCCTTTCTGGACTGTCTAGAGGCTACCATCTGGACTACATGCCAACATTTATTTTGGGTTTTTGTTATTTAGTGCTTTTTTCTTTCTTTGTAGTGTGTGTGTGTGTGTGTGTGTGTGTGTGTGTGTGTGTGTATGTGTGTGTCCACGCAGAGGTTAGGGGACAGTTTGGTCGAGTCATTCTCTCCTTCTACCATGTGGGTCCCTGGGATCAAATTCACACAGTATGGCTTGATTACCAGCACCACTACGTGACGAGGCATCTCACTGGATCCATCTTTTGAGTATTGATTTATTGAGGGAGGGAGGTGAGTCTTTACGCCATGTGCCACGGAGCGTGTGTGGAAGTTGGGGGCAGCCCTCTGGAGTCGGTTCGGTTCTCGCCTTTCCCCGTACTGAGACCGGGCTTCTCCTGTGTTGCCAGTCTTCTCTCCCGGCTTGAGAAGTGCGGACACTACAGAAGAGCCCCACACTTAACCTATATGAGTTCCAGGGATCAAACCCAGGTTGAAAACCTTTCAAGGTCAGCTCTTGTTGAGCTATCTCTTCAGCCCTGTACTCAAACTCTTATTTTTAAGAGATTTATTTATTATTTATACAGTATTCTGCCTGCATGTATGTCTGCAGGGCAGAAGAGAGCACCAGATCTCATTATAGATGGTTATGAGCCACCATGCGGTTGCTAGCAATTGAACTCAGGACTTTGGAAGAACAGAAAGTGCTCTTAACCTCTGAGCCATCTCTCCAGCTTTGTACTCAAATTCTTGATATTCCTACCTCAGCTTCCTAAGTGCTGGGATCAAAGATATGTGTATCACTTAGCAGTTATCTTTCCACACTCTGCCTGCTGCCCTTTAAAATATATATATATATTATGTGCACTGGTGTTTTGCTTCCATGTATGTCTATGTGAGGCTGTCAAACTGGAGTTACCCACATGTGAGCTTTCATGTCGGTGCTAGGAATTGAACCCTGGTCCTCTGGAAGAGCTGGCAGCACTTTTAACCACTGAGCCATCTCTCCAGCCCTCTCCCCCTCCCGTCCCCGGTTCCTCCCCCATTGAAGATAGGCTCTTATGTAACTCAGGCTTATGTAGCTCAGGAAGACCTGGAACTTCTGATCCTCCTACCTCCATTTCCTGAATGGAATGCACAGGCGTGCACCACTATGCTTTTTCAGTAGTCTGTGTAGGTCTGGAACACATAACAAGCCTCTTGCCTCAGTCTTCATAGTGCTAGAATGAATGGCCTACCAAACCATTTCTGATTATCATGTGCCCCACTCCCTACCCTTTGCCCTGTTTTGAGACAAGGTTTCACTATGTAGTTCCGGGTGGCCTGGAACTCACTATGTAGACCAGGCTGTCCTTGAACTGAGATCCGCCTGCGAAGTGCTGAAACTAAAGATATGAACCAGAGGGCCTGGCCTTTGTGTCTGCTTTGTGTTTGTTTTTTGAAACAGGTTCATCTGCAGCCCAGGCCTGGAACTCCCAGCAATCCTCCTGCCTCAGCTTCCCGTGTGCTGCTGGGATAACACGCCTGCCATCTGTGTTTACCCCAGAACAGGCTTTACGTGCCAGGACAACGTACAGCGAGTGCTGACTCCTTGAAAATGACTCGGCTCCTCCCGCGGCCAGAAGCTCAGCTAGTGGTCCCGCCCACAGGCGTGGTTGATGGGTCACACCCACCTCTCCCAATTGGCTCTACGCTGCCGAGAGGCGGGGACAAGGCAGAGGGACAGCAGACGCCATCCCAGCCAGAAGAGACCAGGAGGTACCTGGCCCCTGAGTTCCGAGGAGCGTGGGACAGAGGGACAAACAAGAGGGAACGCGAGGACTGTGGCGCGCTTGCCGAGCGCTGCCCACGTTCCGCCAGCAGAGCAGGTGTCCCCAACTCTGAGCTGTCCCTGCCCCGCAGACCTCCTGAACCGTGGTGGTCGGTCTGGTCTTGTCTTCCAGAGCCAAAGGACAGAAGCTCCAGGAGGAGGAGGAACCGCCCAACATGGCCTCAGAGGTGTGTAGGACTGAGGGACCTTGCTGAGGAGCGGGGTTGATCCGCGCAGGGCGCCACCTCCTGCCACGCCGACCTGCAGTGATCTAGAAATTCCCGACTACACGTCCAAAGCCGGGTTTAACGTAGACTCAGGGATGTCCCTAAGGTTATGCGCCCAGCGAGCGCCGCCACGCGGCTCATGTGGTGAGCTCACTGTTGGCCACCAGGCCTGGCTGTTTTCCCTTTTGTTTTGTGGGTTTGTTTGTTTGTTTGTGAGTCAGGGTTTCCATGTGCAGCTATGGATGTCCTGGAACTAGCTCTGTAGACCAGGCTGGCCTCGATCTCAGAAATCCCCCTGCTTTTGCCTTCCGGGGTACTGTGATTAAAGGCGTGTACCACTACTCCGGGCGTCGTTTTCTCTTTTTAAAAAAATTAATTTAAAGCCTGGCGATGGTGGCGCACGTCTTTAATGCCAGCACTCGGAAGGCAGAGGCAGGCGGATCTTTGTGACCAGGCCAGCCTGGTCTACAGAGCGAGTTCCAGGACAGCCGAAGCTCCACAGAGAAACCCTGTCTGGAAAATAAGTGTATGGGTGTTTTGCCTGCATGTATGTCTGCACCTCGTGGGTGGCTGCTGCCCACGGAGGTCAGAAGAGGGTATGGCAGCTAAAGGAACTGGAGTTACAGACAGTTGTGAGCCACCATGTGCTTGATGAAAACCAAACCTGGGTCCTCTGGAAGAGAGGCTAGTGCTCTGAAAGGCCGAGCCTGCTCTCCAGCCCGTTTCTCTTTCTTTGAGAAAACCGCTCACTTTCAGCTCTGGAAATCACCTCCGCCCAGACTGGCCTCAAGCAATTCTCCTGCCTCCACCCACGGAGTGTTCAGATTCCTGGAGGGAGCTACCACATTAAAACTTTCCGTTTACTTTTTCCTTTTATCATTAGTTATTTGCTTGTTTGTTTGTTTTATGAGTATGTGCGTGTGTGGGTACAGCAGCACACCTGTGGAGGTCGGAGAACAGCTTGTGGGAACAGATTCTCTTTCCAACAGGCCTGGCAGCAAGGGCCTTTACCCAGTGAGCTACCTCGCTTCTCACACCCTGCTTTTCACCCCCACATCCTCTCGTCAGTCCTCACCCTGTAGGATACCCCTCATACCATGCACTTATCCTCATGTATAGGAAAAGCTGAGTCCCTCTATCCCACTTGAGCTCCATCACATGGAAAGAGCCAGGAGGTAGGGACCTCTCTCTGTGGCCCCAGTGACCCCTAGGGTGTCGCTGGTCTCTCCTTTGGGTCAGGAATTCCTGGCTTCTCTTCGAAT